GGTTTAGATTTTGTAACTCAACGAAATTATATTTCGGTTTGGGTTGATAAAATAGTGGTTAGGGTTTATATTTTGTAATTAAATGAAATTATATTTCGGTTTGGGTTGACAAAATAGTTGTTAGGGTTGACAAAATAGTTGTTAGGGTTTAGATTTTGTAATATATATAGTACATGATTTAATAGAATAAAATCTAATTTTATCACAGAATAATTCTATGTTATTATTATACTAGTTACTGGTATAACATAACACTTACAAGATTTCTTCTCACTCTACTAGTTACCGGTATAACATAAGAATTATCAAACCGGAAGCTAATCGACATTAATAGTTATTAGTTGTAAAAATTATCAACCTAAGATAATTTTTACTATATAAAATTAGCCACAACTAGGACTTAAAGTACGTTCGGTTACATTGCATTTCTCATTAAAAGATGTCACTAGTGCCAATCCTCTAATAATCATGATCATGATCACATAACTCGCATCTTTTACCTAATAATAAATACATAATCCTGTAATGCTTTTGTTATCTATTATCCATAATGTTATGTTTATGTCTACATACTATTCTAGAAGGTCAAGTATATAGTTAGTGAGTACCTTGTAGTATTTACTATCAATTTTTTAATTTATAAGATTAGACTTGTTACCTTAGTATACATACTAATTGTTATCTGGAGTTATCGACTAAACATAATGATATCGACTAAACATAATGATATCCAATATGTCCGAAGATATCGTTGACATCATTTAATGTTGGAGTTGTCGTGTCATTGCCAATACAGATAGAAAGCAGAATCATTTCATTTAACCATCTAAAACTGTATAGGGTTACTTTTGTCTTTTTCCTGACATCATGTGAGAGAACTAATTTTCAAATTAGTGATACCCAACTTTTAATTTTGAAGTCTACCATAGCTATAGTTTTAACTAACCCTATATTAGAATATATCACAATCATTTACTGTGTAATAAAGAATTCGGCCTTTGCATATTTTAGTCTCCTTTTCACTACACCTTGTTCAGTAGCATGACTAGTTACGTTTAAAAACAGCTCGTCAAATATTGTGAAGCATATGGGCTTTACACGGCCTATTGATTACACTAGTAAACCAGTTTGGGCCATTTACACGGCCCACCTTATTGTTACCATAAATTAGAGGGGTACGAAAATCCGAAATTGACTACCAAGAGTCATCATCAATCATATCCTTTTGATTACAAAATTTTAATGCGCATTTTGAAAAGGTTCCTTTTAAAAATTCCCTTAAAAATCGAAAACGTTCCTTTTAAAAATTCCCTTAAAAATAGAAAACTACTAAGCAGTTTTGGGTATTGTTTCTTCTGAAGTTTCAGAGAAATGACGACGACGACGACGACGATAGCAAATCTCCCGGAGGTTTTGGTAGAGGAGATCGTGTCTAGGGTTCCAGTTACGTCTCTTGGACCATTCCGATCGACTTGTAAAAAATGGGAGGCCTTATCGAGAACTCATCTTCTAGGCGCAGCAGCAACCGCAACGAAGCAGTTAATAGGGTTCGTCGTTGTTGATTACTCTGTCTGTTCGATGAAACTTGATGTACATGGAATCATCAACACCGACGGCAACGGTATTGTTGATTTATCAGTGAACCAAGTTGGCGAATTTGATGGAATCGAGATTGCTCAACTCCTTCACTGCGACGGCTTGTTGCTTTGTGTCCTCAACGACAACGTCAGAAACAGCAGGCTCATCGTGTGTAACCTCTATTTGGGGGAAACGAGGTCGATCAAACCTAATCACGTGTTGCACCGATTCCATAGATCAGGCGTGTTTGGTTTCGGATACGACGACGGTGATCGCAACAAAAACCGTAACCACAAGATTCTGAGAAGCAAACCTGTTGGCGGTGGGTATGAAATCTACAGTTTCAGGACTGATAGATGGAGAGATGTTGAGGACTCTCTCGACGAATACACACAACTTGGTCCAAAACAAAGCTTGTCTTTCAAGGGAAATGCTTACTTTTTGGCTACCAAGGAATCTCCAGTGACACTTGAAGTGGGAGAAGAAGGGATAGAGCCTATCGATTCGATAGAGACTAGAGATGTTTTGCTCTGTTTTAATTTCACAACAGAGACATTTGGAGAGCCTCTGCCTCTGCCGTTTAACTCCGAGGATGATGTAGACAATGTGGCTTTAACCTGTGTTAGAGATGAGAAGCTCGCTGTGTTATATCAAAGCTACAAGTCCATAGGCATTTGGATTTCGACTATGACTGAGCCCAATGCTGCGTTGTGGACCAAGTTTTTGGAAGTGGATTTGATAGCACTCGATGGTTTTCCTGGTGGCTTTACTCCTGGGAGCTTCTTCATTGATGAGGAGAAGCATGTCGCTATACTTTTCGATCGAAGGCGTAACCACCCAAAAGCTAACATCATTGGAGAAGATGGAGCCTTCAAATCACTGAATGTTGGATATCATCCGCCCAGAGACTTCGTTTATTATGTTCCAAGCTTGGTGTCTGTGAAAATCAACAAGCCGAGCAAAAGGAAAGAAAGAGATCATTAGATTCTCTGCAATATTTGTTTCTTGTTGCATCTATCATTCTGTCTTCAGTCATTTACTATCATTTCCTTTTGAACACTACTAGTATTAAAGAATCCTGCTTATGCCTGTTTCTATGATCATTCAATAATGTTTAAACTGATCTGGTGCAAGGTTGTGATTATTTAAATAGTATTATTTCTTCGTCTTCTTCCTTTTTGCGGTTATATATTTGATATTAGCGGCTGTTAACATTTTGATAGTATTCAGTTATAACTTCACTATCTTTGCAATCACTCAGACAAACATAAAGAAACTATCTAGCTACTTCCATAATGAACAAAAGGAATCTATCCTCTCCATATTAACCCAGCGACGGTACCTTTATCTTCCATTCTTAATTCCCAGCAGTTGTCATATTTTCTTAGTAAACATTTGGCTCCATCAATTGCATCTTCTCCAGATGCTTTTGCGGCATAACCGCTTCCCTCATCCTCTCATACCATTTATCTTTTCCTTCATTCATCCACACCTTTGTTGCCTCTCCTTCAATTAGCTTTCTCTCCTCGCTAGTCTCTTCTTTTAATCCAGAAATCTCCACAGATACTCAAGTTTCCTTGAGAACCCTGCTACAAAGTCCCCACTGGTACTGTATTCTCCATTTTTCTCACAAAGAATCACTTGTTTTGGCCTTAAACTTCTCAGTGCCCTCTAAGCCTCGCTTCTATCATCAAGGATGCTATACTTCAGGTGATGCAACCTAAACTGAGCACATATGATCAAGGTCTCGTGAGGTGAGGTGACTTGGAACTTGTCAAGTACACTAATCTGGAAGTTGATCTTGAGAGACTGAGCAAAGCCAAGGAGTTGGAAAATCATTTCTGTAAGAGGGTGAGAAAGGTATGTCTGTGGTAAGATCAGATACAATAGTTATTCGAACATGAGGAGGAGGTCCTTCTGATCTGCAGCTCAGAGCCTCCAACAAAGTGGGTCACTGCATTCCGTGAGAGACACCGTATCAGCAATATATAGATCCATTTTTCTTATCTATGGGATCTTGTGCTAGAATCTGCAGGATAACAGAGTTTAACATGCTATTAGGCAAAGGAAACCAAGGGCTTACCTCATAAAACTTTAAGCAAAGTCTTCTGAAACATCTTCACTTCTGCTGAAGCAAAAGTAACTACAGGCCAAAAAAAATGATGACAGTGAGGATGAGGAAAGATGATGTTGCAACCTCCGAAGTCCAAAAGCTGTAAGCTGATGATTAGCATCGCCAGAAGAAGACTCCAGTTCCGAGAGAACGCAAAGGTAACCCTTGATGAGTTCCTTGCCGTAATGGCCACGGCACAAGGGTTAAGCAATTGCTCTGTCCATCTCCCTTCCTTGTTACCATCTTTGCAACCCTTCTCACTAGACTTGATTGCTTTTCTCTTTAGGTGGAGGATAGAAATCAAAGGGTGGAGCTCTTGTTACCACTTCCATGTTAGTTGCTTCCCAACTCACATATGCACTAAGATCTTGACTATAGCTTCCGATAAAACCTGATCCCATTTGAATCTTTTACTACTAGATTATTGAAATGAAAATGGTGTCCAGCGCTTCCTTTTTTTTTCAATGTGAAATTATCTTTCATCTGATTGTAGGTTAAAGACTCGAAACTTTCACACACACATATTTTAATAAATCCCTATATAAAAATATACTCTCTGTATGTGGACATACAAACTCATTATCGCAATCCATCTCCTTTTAATTGTATGAATAAAGAAGTTATTACAGAAGAAAACTACAGTTTTACACTTTCAACAACATTACATATAAACTCCATAGAACCCTTGAAAAACTAAAATGGTCTTTAATGGAGTCGTTTTTCTCTTTTTTATTGATTGGTAAGGAAGAATTACATTGACAATACTTATTTAGAAGGTGGTGGTGCTTTAGAAGCATCTTGCTTTTGTTCTTGCTTAGATCCTCCACTCACGGCAGCAGTTGCAGCCACGGTCATAGCTGTAGCAGCTGCACCAAGCTTAACACCTCCAGCAGCTTTCATTGCACCCGCAACTTTCGCAAATATCGCCACTCCACCTACTAGGATACCTCTCAAAGCGACTGCGGGTTTCACCGACATTTTTGTTGAGTCCTGCATATTTTCATTCCAAACACTGGTCATACATATGTTACAAGACATAGGAAATAAGTTTTCTCTTCTGCTCCAAATAAACTTTTGCAAAACTGACAAGGTAAATCATAAGAATCAAGAAAGTTCTAAGTTAGAGAGAGATAACATCATATATACTTGCCAATACATGTCATTGAGAGCTTGGATGGTTTTAAGAAAGACACCCAAAAAAAAACATAACTTTATCAACTGTACAGTCTCAAAAGTTGTGTCTAAGAGTTCTAAGGTGCATTGAACATTAGCATTTTAAAAATTTCCACAGCAAACAATTTCAAGATTTCAGATTAACTAGACTAATCCCCACCCAATTGCAACACGAGAGATTTGTAATTTGACAATCCAATTCCAATTTCCAAACCAATCGAAAAATGTTGGATCCTTTTTTTAAACTATAATCAAAGAAATCAATTCATTGTTACTTGTCTCCACCTAAGATTCTAGAACATAAAACCAGAATACAATCTAAGAAGAAGAAGGATTGTTACCTGAGCAAAAGCCTTATTATGAATAAGAGAGACGATAGAATTTACAGAAACATTATTTTCTTAGAGATTCAAATCAATCAATCTCAATCTAAAATAACGACTGAAACTTTGGATTCAGGTTTTGTCGGAAAAAGTAAAGAAAAACTCACCGTCAATGGCCTTCTTCTTCTATTGGTATCGGCGACAACTTCTCTCCCTCTCACAATATGCTTAACGAAGCTTGTAACGCTACTAACGGCGTCGTTTCGTTTCACGGCCTCGTGTTATTAACACTCTTTTGGGTTACGGCGTCGTTTCGTTTCACGGCCTCGTGTTATTAACACTCTTTTGGGTCACGGCGTCGTTTCGTTTTACGTCGTCGTGTTATTAACCACTCTTTTTGGTTACGGCGTCGTTTTGCTTCTACGTTTTAAATACTTTTTCTTTTTTTTTTTACCATTATGGCGTCGTATTGAACAATTAAATTCCAAACACCAGAATCAGCTTTATCTTACCGTCGCCGGCGGTTCAGACCACGTCAATAAAAGATCCGGGGACGCACCAGAACCAGTCATTACCTTCTCACTTCCATCTCTATCCAGTGAATTAAACAGTATTGTTCAACTCCTTTCGATTATATCGGTTCTTCGTTAATGGCTGTGATTTTGCATTTGGTAGAGAAATCATCCGATCAAATCAGAAACTGGAAGTTCTGATTCCTTGGTTCGTTCAAATATTCCCATGGAAAGATTCTTCCTAGTTGTCCTAGTTGAGTTCCTTGGATTGATTTTGGTTTAGTTCTTTAGGATTTGCAGTGAGTGAATTTGAAAATGCGTTTTGAGAATTGTCATAAGATGTTGAATTCGTCCATTGGCTCTGAAACTGTGGTAACGTTGATCCGCTGGCTCTAAAAACTAGTCTGTTGTTTCTACTTTTTTTTGTTTCGACTTTGAAATACACTAATAACTAACTAGTGTGTTGTTGTTGTTGTTGTTGATGTGAGCTCTGGCTTTATTGCTAATGGAGAGAATCTATGGATCTTTTGTATTAGACTTAGACTGTTGCTTGAACAAAGAATTTTGTTTCTTTAATCTTTTCTTGGAACTTATGGCATTAAATAGGAAACCTATTGGAACATCAACCTTATTCATTGTCATAATTATACTTCTCAAGTTACACATAATAGCATCATGTTTTTAGTATCTTGAGCTTTTGAGGCATCTAGAAACATTACTAAAAGTGTGTTGCATACTTGTATTGGATTACCATTATGACCAACTCGTATCCTTCTTTTTTTTCTTTTTTCTAATGGTTTCAGTCACTCATCTACGATATGAAGATTGTCTCACATCATAAGTCAAAGAAGCCAGAAGAAGAAAACAATGGTAGTACTTTTTTCTTCTTTGGTTTCCATGTCTCACAAGTCACAACATTTCCAGAGATGTAAAATCATTTTTTATTTTGGAAGATAGGCTGTAAATGGAATCTTAAATCTAAACATAAACTTGTTGTTAAGCTTTCTGGTTATTGCTTTTGAATTTCAGGAAACTTCTTGATGATGTCAGATGAAGAAGAAAAAGCAGGTTTAAAAACTGGTAACGCACGCTCATATAACCATATACCATTTATCTTCTTTCGCTTCTGTTACATCCATACACATTGTTTTTATAAGCTATACATAGCCAATTTTTAGTAAATTCCAGTCGTCCATTCTATTTTTCACCATTAGGAAGGACACGACCATATTCACTTCTATCACTTTTCTAAATATAGACACTAGCCCATGACTTGAATTGGTCAAAATCTCTTTCTCTCTCTCTTGTCTCATTTTCTCTGTCTTATATCAGCTTGTCTCTCCTCCCTCATTTCTCTCCATTCCCCTGCATTTCCTTCCCACCAGGAGAAAACTAAGGAACCCAACTCGCCAAACCTGTCAAACAAAAAAATGCCCTCGGGCAAACCTTCTTCTGCCTTCCCTTTACATCCCAAACCAACACCATTAAAACCTTCAAGCAGCACCAGCAACACCAACAACAACACAAACCAAGCATGCGCCGCCTGCAAATACCAACGCAGGAAATGCGCTCCCGATTGTCTTCTCGCTCCTTATTTCCCTCATGACCGTCACCGCCAATTCCTCAACGCGCATAAGCTCTTTGGTGTCAGCAACATCACCAAGATCATCAAGTCGCTTACCCCTCCTGAGAAAGACGCAGCTATGCATACAATCATGTTTCAGTCCGATGCTCGTGCCAACGATCCTGTTGATGGATGCTATGGCATCATAAGAAAGCTTCAATACCAGATCGAATACACCAGGAACGAATTGGAGATTGTTCTTCAGCAACTGGCTATGTTCCGTGACCGTGCTCATCACCATCATCAAGAACCGCAAATCCAGATTCAAGAACCAGAGGACCTCTCGAGTTTTTCGGGTTCTTGTGATTTAAACAACAACAGTTCGATACCTTACAATTACCCTCTGAATCACGTCCAAGAACCAAGTCAACAACAACAGTATTGCTCGTCCGGAAATAACTTCAGTGGGTTACAAGAAGACATGTGGTGTCTTCAACTTCAAGATTCATCAACGACACTGAATATGAAGGCTGGTTTCATCGATGAATGTGAGGACATTAAGCCCGTGGAAGAGGTTTCAAGCGAAAGACACGAGTTCGAGCCCCATGAAGCTTTCCTGGAACAACGGAAACTCGACTTGCCGTCCTCACAATTCATCATCTCTTCCTAGCCTTTATTTTTTTTTTCTCTTCGTCGTTTATATATTTTTGTATGATCACTCAGCTTACTTTGTCTTGACTCCTGAGCCGTACGTAGTAGCCCTTCGTTTTTTTCTCTGATTGAAGATTCACTTTTCTAGGTCTCACTCAACAGATTCACCTCATTGATCGATTTAAATAGTTTTTTCATGGATCTCTTTTTGTATCTCAACTTCTTAAATTCTCTTCTAGGATTTATTTTTAGATTGAATAGGCAAAGAATCTACAAGAATTTGATTTAATAAATATTTTTCATTATTAATATATGGAAGAGGAAAGAGGGCCCATTTATAACATTCTAGATGTCTAAAAACAAAAGCAATTTGTCCCACATCGCTAAACTACAGAGAAGGAAATGTGTTTATATATAGTTCGAGTCGCACAAGTGATTGTCCCTTCGGGGACATCCGATAAAATTGGAACGATACAGAGAAGATTAGCATGGCCCCTGCGCAAGGATGACACGCACAAATCGAGAAATGGTCCAAATTTTTTTTGAACTCAGTTAGTTCAGTTTTGCTGTTCCGACCATAAGATTACAATAATAAATTTCTTAGATCTAAAACATTTGAGTGATCCTCTTCCGTCACTGGTACTCTCCACCAAGGTGCCTATATTTTAGGTAACAAATTTGATTTCGAAGAAGTCTGTGAGATTTGTAAAAACTTTATTTAAGCTCAAAATTTGTAACACACGATGACAAGGATACATATTTTGCATCCCACAAGATTCATTATGATTCTGCAACAATATATAGAATCAGACCCACAAGGCCACAAATTAAAATCGAAAAGAGTTTCTAACTTAGTAGAACCAAACAAAATCATCAAAAAGAAAGTTTTGAATATTTTTGTGTGTTTGTGTTTGTAGAGGTCACACATCACATGCCCATGCTGGCCATATCAGGGACATGCTTTGGAGTGTTCACGTCCGCCTTCACTAGCACTGAGGCTTCTGTCGTTGTTAATAGCAAAGAAACGCTGCGTTTTCAACACATGATCATTAGTTTGTTTAGTTCTACAGACGCAACCAACAATTTTGAGGTTTAGGACACTCTTTTACCTAGCAGCATCAGTTAAGGCAGTTTTGATAACCTTCACCGGGTCTATAATTCCAGCTTTCACCATATCCACATATGTACCTATGGCAACACGAAACAAAAATGGCAGACAGAGTTAAGAGGTTGATGACATTTGTTTGCGTTTCACAATGTACTCAAAGACACTAAGTAGCTAACCTTTGGCAGCATCGAAACCGAAATTGCTGTCATCTTGCTCTAATAACTTGCCAACCACTAAAGAACCATCGTAACCAGCATTTTCAGCTATTGTCATTGCAGGAGCCTACACATGATTCACAACTTCTTGTCATGATTTACAGTTTCGGAAATTGAAAAAAAAACTTTCATGATGATGTTAGAGATTAAACCTTGAGAGCATTCTGAACAATCTGAACACCTCTTCTTTGGTCTTCGTTTTGAGTTTGCAGGTTGTCTAAAGCTTTTGTAGCATATAATAGAGCCACACCACCACCTATTAGAAAATTACCCAGTTAAAAAGCAACATGATGAAATGATCCGAGGAAAGAGAGAGAGCAAACAAATAATATACTTACCCGGTATAATGCCTTCTTCGACGGCTGCTCTCGTAGCGTTTAACGCATCAGTGACCCTGTCTTTTCTTTCCCCAACTTCAGTTTCACTTGCCCCTCCAACCTATATAGGAACCCGACACAGATCAGCTACTTTTGGTATGCAAGAGTTTAGAAAGACAGATTGATGGGTGATTGACTAACCTTGAAGACTGCAACACCACCTGATAGTTTTGAGAGTCTTTCTTGCGTTTTCTCTTTATCAAAAGTGGAAGTGCTCTTTTCATTGGCTGATCTTAACTGTAGAGCATGAAATAACAAAGGGTTGCTTCTACTGTAAGTGTATTAGTGTGAGCAAGATTCATGATAGATAATAATCATATACCTCTTCACATCTTTCTTCGATCAGCTTTTTATCACCACCACCATGTAGGATAATAGTGTCATCACGGGTGATGGTAACCTTATTCAAATAATTTGTGTTAGATTTGAATCTCACAAAAGTACAAATAGAAACCAGATATGATTTCTCCTCTTACTTTCTTCGCAGTTCCAAGCAATTCAGGGCGAATCTTGTCTAGAGATAGCCCGCGCTCCTCAGAGATGACCTGTGTAAACTACTGAGTTAGAAAATGAAAACGTGACACAAACATAACTACATGTTGTTTCTGAGAACTTACCTCCGCACCAGTAAGAACCGCAAGATCATCTAAGCTTGCTTTCCTGTTGTCACCGAACCCCGGAGCCTTGATAGCGCATACCTTAAGCCCAGCATGATGCTTATTGAGAATAAGCATAGCTAATGCATCACTCTCAACATCTTCTGCTACTATAAGAAGTGGTCTGCTACTCTGCAAAACCACAATCAAGAAGAAGTGAGTGATTTTTCTTATATCAAACTATGTAAACCTGACTTCAGAACATAATATTATATATAAACAAGGTAATGTTTTACTTGCACAGCTGCTTCAAGAACTTTCAACAAAGAGTGCATGTCTGACACCTTCTTCTCATGAATAAGGATGATGGGATTTTCAAGCTCCTGAAAAACAACCATAAGTAGTTCAATACCCTTTCTTTCCTTTTCATACCATACCAAACACAATAGATTTCACTCACGCATTTCTGGGTCTTCTCATCTGTAATAAAATATGGAGAAATGTAACCTCTGGCTAGCTTCATTCCTTCTACTACTTCCAGCTCGTTATCTAAAGTGTTACCATCCTGAGTGTTTGAAAAATAATAAAGTGATCAGGCAATCATCAAATGATCTATAATAAAGCATTCTAAGAAAAAGTAAGCTTACAGCAACGGTGATAACCCCTTCCTTTCCAACTTTCTCCATGGCTCTTGCAATTAGTTCCCCTATCTCACGCTCCCCATTTGCAGATATAGTAGCAACCTATCAAAGGAATATATGCAATAGCAATAAACAGATCAAGGCTTGGTATATCATTCGAAAATCCTGACATAGTGAATAAGTTTCTAAATTCACCTGAGTAATCTCTTCAGGGGTGCTGATCATAACAGCTCTGCTTTTCAAATCAGAGACAACTGCAGCAATTGCCATATTTATGCCAACACGCAAATCCATCACATTTACACCAGCAGCCACTGACTTGCAACCTTCCATGAGTATCGCCTGAGTCAAAACAGTGGCACAAGTGGTACCTATATAACAAAAGAAAGCAAACAGAAATTAAGATTACGATATTACCTCTGCAATGTGTTTTAACTAAAAACTCATCCAAGATTATTAACTCAAAGTGGGAACATTACCATCGCCAGCAACCTTGTTAGTAGCATTCGCAACCTGTTTCACGAGCTCTGCACCAATATTCTTAGCTTTTGCTTGAAACGATATGCTTTTTGCCACGGTGACACCATCCTTTGTGATCTTTGGTCCACCGTAACTGTTCTCGATGATTACATTTCTTCCCTAACACCACAGAATAAAATAAAGAAATTGTATTTAAACGACTGTTTCTAGCACAATCCACTCTACATTGATCTAAACCTTGTTGAGAACAATATATAAGTATACCTTTGGCCCCATTGTGACTTTCACAGCTTCTGCAACCTCGGATACACCCTGCAGCATAGCTGCCCGAGCACCGACCCCAAAACTGATATCCTTGGCTGCATAGTTTCTACTACTTATAATCCGCCCAGAAACCTTAATGGTAAGAGAGAAAACCAAAAAAAAAAATCAAAACCGGAATCAAACAGTTCAATAGAGGTTAGGCCAATTCAAGCTAAATTCCGGAACTATAAGATCTTCTATAGCATTTGAAGCCAATTAAATCAGAGCAGATTCTGCAAATTAAGTAACTGAAGTTGTAAATTTTGATGTGAACTCTAAACTTTTACATTGCATCACTGATGCAACTTATCTGGACCCGTAATTTGAGCTATAATTTGACACATTTTTAGCAGGTAACCAACACTAATGTCCATAAACGAAATGCAATCAAACTTAAAATCGCAGAGAGTTCAAAGAAACTCACCAGTTTCCTGGAAGTAGACGAACTGCAAGGCGACAATCAAACCCAGAAAGAAGAAAAAGCTATGCCCATCAGTGCAAAATTGATCGAGAAAATTATAAGTTTTGAAATAAGCTAACTGAGTGAAACAATGAAACGTACCCAATTGAAGAAGATAACTTTGACAGCACTCGGTACATTTCCGCTTGCAAAGAACTAGAAAAGGAGAGGCTTCAAGGGTTTAGGGTTTTGCTGAGGTTTTTTGATTACGGTGGTGGTGAAATTGTGTAATCAAGAAATTTATTTTTCGACCAAGGATTGAAACTTTGTTCTGCTTTTGTGTCAAGCTCTGTTTCTGCAACTCCATAATTAGGTTTGCAAGTTCATTCAATACCTTAGGCCCATTTGATTTCTTTCGAACGGCCCAAAATTATATGGTAAGAAATTGATTACACTCTGAATATGACATAGTGATTTGCAATCGACAAACCGAACTGAATTCACTTAATCAAAAATACGATTTTCTTCAAGTAACATTCTTTTATCAGATACAATAAACCACATCACTACAGAACTTGCAAACAAGACAGTATTTTTGTATCCATCAGAATCTTAGTCTAGGAACATACAAGATCAATTTGGAACCTGCAGGAAGAACCAATGCCATCGGAGACGTAAAACATATGGCTCTCGGTGAATCTCTCTGATCAACACCAAAAATTAGAGCTACCTTTTTAAAAGGGTAACGAATTTTAAGTTTCTAGGTTCGTGGGCTCGCATGACACCATAAGCTTGTATAGTTCTTTGTTCTATGCACTCGTATCAATTGGTACGGTTTTTACTGGAGATGAACCAGAGCTGCTGCTGCTGCTACTGCTCTCTCCATTGGTTGTAACTTCGGATTGAGCTGAGGAGTTCATTGATTGGTTGCTATTTGTGGGTGGTGCTTGTCCTTCTTCTGCTAGCTTTTTAAGGAGGTTCATGACCGTTGGAAGGAATTTGGTTGACAAGGAGAGAAGTCCAGGTAGCTGTTGTTGATCAGAGATGAAACATTGGCAATTCAGAGAGATTATATAACTGATATCAAATGAAG